AGTACTGGCAGAAAAAGTGGACATCAATGATCCACTTTTGAAAAAAAACATGAACAACTGTTCGAGTACCGCTTCTCCACCCAGGAGTTCAGAACCACCCAGGTGAAGTGCCAGGGCAGACTCCTTTAAACAGGTTATTATTTCTACCAATCCCCACATGCCCAATGTTTTTTACGGAACGGTGGAGGGGGCTATGTTCAACACCGACATCACGCTGCCCACCACATCTGTCGCATCATCAGCACCGATAAACTCGTCACAGGTCCAAGGCCGTGGGCTCAGATGTTCTGTGAGGCGTTATTTTCCATCCCGCGCCATACACATGCTAAATTTCGCAATTGCTGGGGTTTGTCTCCTTCATCTTTTAGAGAGGGGGATGATGATGCCCTGGTCGGTGACCAGGGCACGTACGGATGTGTCGGTGAGCTCTGGGTTGGGGGTGGAGGTGGGGTACTTGTCTCCTCCGTCTATTGAGTTAGTGGGGTCTATGACCAGGGCGCGGACGGGCCGTGTCCGTGCCTCAACTGACGCGAGACCCCGCTGGGCTTTGTGTTGGCTGTTGCAACGGCCTGCGGTTCTATGAAAAGTGGTTGCTCGACTCGGGGTTCCGCTCTGAAACTGAGGGGCACTCTCTCAGGTACCGCCCGTCTCCAGAGTCTCTCTCTCTGACCCTTCGCACTGGTTTGCTGGTTTGCTGGAAGTCGCTTAAACCAGCAACCAAAAACGAGGCAATAAGTCCCGGGCCCAAACCTTGAATACAAGTGTGGAGTGGTACGCACCGGTTGCAGTGCATTTTGCAGTGCATGCCAGCTGAGAAATTACCATTCGGCAGACGCCCAGCTCAATGGTTTGTCGCGCGAAAGCACCACAAGCATGTGATTTACGTCTCGAGTTGTGTTGATTTATGGCGTTGTTCAAATTACCGTATCCCATTAAGTAGCACACAAACACCTACTTCCCTGCCCGGTGGTTCGAATTAGCCGACTATCCTCGTCAGACATGGAGGCTCACTGTGGCAGCATTCGTGACTAGCTGAGACAACCTCATGGATTATGAGTCTGCGGCTGGCGAGAGCGAGGCAGACCTCAGCGCAGACTTCGTGGAAATCGGTCAGTTAGGCGGGTGAGAGCCTAGAAAACCCTACTGCTGACAGTGACAGAATGTAGCTTTAACCACTCACGACATTTTCGAATAATTATCAGTGACGGTTAACATGACAATGCCAGCCAGTAAGATGCTTTAAGGGATGGTCGAGGAGACAGCAGGGATAGGACCTGTCATCTCTTACCATGTGCATGACACCACAAGCTGGACACCAGGGACCATGACGACGGCACGAGCTCTGTGCCATTTGGCTGTTGTTTAGCGGTCCCTGGTGCTTGTTGCGGGACCCAGCAAAAAGCCAAAACAAGCAAAAGACAAAACAAAAACACACAACAAAACAGAAAATCTCCTCATTTCAGGATGGCATGGTTTTCGGCCCCGAGAAATCTGATAAATATCCGCTTGTGGCCATGTTCCCCTTCTTTCCACAAACTTAATCTCATAAACCCTAAGTAAGCTAATGTGGCGCGGCTTAATCACTAACTCGTAGTGAGTGCCAGTTCGGGGTGGGTACCCCCTTCTCTCCACCTCCCCCCCCCCCCAACACACTTTCGTGGGTCCCGGTTCGGTGACGGGGACGTTGTGAACAGACCAGACCATGCGACCGGATCAAAGGCACGCTAGGAACCCCGCTCTCCAACCTTCCCAAGGTGTTCGAGCTTTAACATGGCGTCTCTAGGTATGGTGTAGAAGCATTTCAAGATCCAAACAGCATCATCAGCTTTGGAAAGCTCCACCCCTCCACCTCCATCTCTACCGAAAAAGGCCCGACAGTACATGTGGGGCAATGTGAGCATCCCAGTGGCGTATTTCGGACGCGTTCTGCCGAGGGAAAATCATTTAGCAGCTAATTACCTCTTCGATAATCATCCACAGAGTTTCTCCATTTGGTTTCGGACAGTCCGGAAATCGTCCCCAGATTCGCCTCCCATGAGCCATACACAGCCAACGGTCATAGCCATGCTCAGCGAAAACAGATTGTCCGTCTTGACCATGCCCTGAAAATCGTCGGGGATTCTCCCTGGGTGCGATAAATTATCTGGGATAATTTTTTGTGTTGGCAGTGCAGAACACCATTCTGAAGACTTCCAACATAATTTTCAGGGGTAATCTGCCGGCCGAGCGCACCTTTCTTCCGTGACCAGGCCGCGGCGACTGTAGAAACTCGCCGTAGTTGGCGACCAAAACGAATTTCTTCCGTGACCAGGCCGCGGGGAATGTAGGAACCCGCCGTAGTTGGGGACCAAAACGAATTTGGCTGTTTTGCCTACAACGTCATACAGTTAATAGTGATCCTTTCTCCGGCATGGGTGGGAAATATTGGATGCACCCAAGTTGAAACCCCTGGCCCATGTCGCCGGCGGGGGAGGGCGCAAGAGCCCGGTTCCTACGCCGCCGTCAGATTTCCCGCCGGCGTGGTAATACGGCACACGCGAAGAATGCGTCCGGTGGTGACTTTAATGGGTTGTTCATGCACCGAAACACAGAAACATGATTGCAACGTCGCTACACAAAGTTATGCACGTGTGTTCGCAGTTGTTCAACTGCATGGGTGCGAATGAACAACTGCTATAAAGAGCGTGCTGTCGCCGTAAAAATTAAATCGCCATATGGGCTGTGATTGTTTCCCCAGAACCGTGCACGAGTCACGAGCGCTAGCGAGCGTTCAACCTATGGGCGTCGGTCTCGAAAAAGGGGTGGAGGCGGGGGGGGGGGGGGGGGGTCGCGAAATCTTTATATTAAAAAGGAAATAGCGGTAAACACTGGGACATATCAGATTTTAAGGTTGGGTCTGGTCTTCCAACAAACAACTGACCGGAACAAATGCTTGAACAAAGTACCGCCCCCGGCGCATTTCTCTTTTTCAATTTAAACTCGCTATCAAACAAGCTGCAAAACGAATCCGCAGGACAGGATGATGAAGACGATCATTTTAAGGCTCCCAACGAGCAAGATTCTCTTGCACCTAAATATATGACGGGAAATAATATTCGAGGACTATTTCTCATTGTAAGACTATATATTTCTTTCCTCCAATTGATGAAAGGCAATCTCGATGAATCATGTGCAAATAGCGCAGCCAGCCAAGATTATTCTTCATGACAAGACCTCTGGAATAATGTTGTCCAAATAGCGCGGCGTGAAAGATAAGATCTGTTGGAAGACCGGTGCGGCTGGCGACGGGCGCGCCGGCAATCGTCGTGTGGCAGGTGCCGTGACCACTTGGTGCAGGTGTGAGGCCGGCACGGGGCTCACGACCGGGTCACGTAGGTCTTACGCCGGGCTTAACACATACATTCACATACAGACACACCGACAGATACATTACAGACAGATACACAGATACAACACATACATTCACAGACAGACACACGCACACACACACACACATACATGATAGTTACAGTATCCCCGGATCTGATCACCATGTGCCTTATGGCAGGAGGGTCGGTATTTTAACAGTTGACGGAGCCATGTACAGGTACAAAGCCTTGTCAAGGACATCACGTTGTCATGGGAAACCAAATAGGTCACATCTTCCAACATGCGATGCGTTCGTTTTCAGCCAAATGCGACGCCACCGGGTTTCATAATTGCATTACGGAACTTGTGCCGCCATTTTACTGCCAAAAGAGAGCTGAGCGTTGCTAAGTACATCTTTGCAGGTGTTTCGGAAAGAAAACTGCTTCTCATGTCGCAAAATAACCCCAGCAGTCATGGCAATTAATCTCCATAATCAGCTGCCAACGACGCCTACTTAATTACTAGTTCAAAGGGCGTGCGCATTGGTCATGGAGCCGTCTACTTCCACCACATTGCAAACAGAAAACGAAGCTGTGTTTGCCAGGCGCCGCCGTCAAGACCCCCTCCTCAGACCCACGCAGTGTCTCTCTGGCCTCTAGGCGCAACCGTCCGATCGGCGAGAATAGGAAAACCATCGACTCCGACGGACAGAGTGGGGGGGGGGGGGGGGGGAGGGGGGATCGGCAGCGCTGGCCCGGCGGCACGCGCACAGTGCTCAGCATGCGCGTCCAGCGGCCAAGCTGGCCCCGGCGGGTCGCGGGATCAGCGTGCAGACCGCGTCTCAGCTTGCTTACCGTCCCAAAACGGCACGGATTTACTCTGTACCGGATGCGCCGGCCGGCGCGGCAGCGGTAACCAGCTACCGATTCAGAGTTGAGGGCTGTGAACGTTTTAGGTCAATTCTATTCATACGGCAATTTTCATTAAGTTTATCTTTATGCCCCATGATGAGATAATTTGGATGGGCGAAGTCATTCCGTCCGCCTCGCCGGTGGCTCCGCCCCTGCCGGCAGGAATGTACGAGCAATCGATACCAGGAGTAAAGGGCTGCTCATGCAGGGGAAGGACGGTGGTGCTGATACGAGGAAAGCATTGGACTGGCCCGTAGCGCTCCTTTCTTCTACAGCTAAAACGCCAAACAAGACTGAAACGATTCCGCCTACTGCAATCAGCTCTTTTGTTATGTACATCGAGAAGCTGCCGCATGCTTCCTTGGTTTATGTGGCAATGTTTCCTCTTTGTCAGAAGACTTCTCTCAAGCCGATCATAACTCTGCAAATGTTCGGCCACGGCATGGACCGCATAAAAAGTGAGTCCGTGGCAGCGGTGTTCTTGGCTTTGGCGGTGTCCGCCGCGGCTGACCCAAGGCGTCGCTTCTAAACACAAAGAGTAACACTGACATGCTCAGTCATTCTGGATTTGCGGGCACTCCAAACTCCTAATTAGAAAACTCATTTCACTTATCGTCCCAGGAGAAACAAAAGCAGAAAACCTGTTTGTCAGGCGCGATCGCTGTACGCCGGCGCCAGCGGGAGCAGTCCCCGGCGTGTTCGGTCGGGCGCACCGCACGCCGACGACCCGGCGACACTCACCATGCCAGGCTCCTTGGCGAAGTCCACGTCCGGCGCCCGGGCCGTGTAGCCGTTCGGTGATATGTCGAACTCCAGGATCAGGTTCAACCCGTTCTGGGTCAGCGCCTGGGGGAGGGGGGGGGGGGGGGGTCGGCTGGGTCAGAGCCCGCCGGTCGGACCGTGCAGCCAGTCTCAGCGCGCCGCGTCCCTGAGCAGCAGCTGTTGATGCTGCAGACGGCCTCCGCTCGACATATGTTGTTCTTCCGTTGTTGGCAATCTTTCTACGCAGCTAGGCCAGGTACATAGGTGACAGTTCGGTGGCCTTTTGACCGCGCGCACTAAACGTGCACTCCGCAGCCCTCTCCATATGGGAACGAGGCCATTTTCGGACATCTAGCGTAAGCAACCGGTCAGGTCCGTGACTTCCCAGTGTGTCATGACAAGCCCTGCCTCGTGCCACCGTAATGCCCGCCACGCGAGGTGGTGGGCCTTGGCCAGGGCCTGTTTTCATAAGATTTCGCGCAGTCATGCTACAACACGCAGTTCTAAATCGTACCGCGTAAGCACGTGACCCGAAAGCCTATCAAGCTTACTTCTACTCTGAAATCATTCTGCTAATCAGCAGGCGTCGTTGAAACTAAGCCATTCACGACACGCACGGCGGTCTTCGGCGTGAGTCAAAATTGCGCGGGTTTTTCCGTCCAGTTCTAGAAATCAGAGCCGGGTGGGTCTCTCCACCGCCTCCTCAACTATGAGCGCCCGCCGACCTGTCGTGGATCAGGAGAGCCATCAGCGGTTCACCGGCGGTCCAGCATGCTCACCAGTTCGGTCCTGCCGTTGGTCTTCAGGTCGCTCTGGAACTTGGCGCGGCGCTCCTCCATCGGCCGCTCGCGGTGACCCGTGTAGCGGCCCTGGGGGCACGCGGCCAGGTCAGCACCGGCGGCGCCGGGTCACACAACTCACGTTCGAGCGAGATCAGCGGCGGATGCTTGCGACACATGAATGCGTGTTCTTCGCCTGAACACAAGGTAATTCTGCGGAAGCGTGGCGCTCATCGATTAGTGACATGAGGTTTCTGCGGGCGTCCGTCGATCGCTGACGTGAGAGTTCTGCGGGTGTTCGTCAATTGGTGACGTGAGGGCTCTGCGGGTGTTCGTCAATTGGTGACGTGAGGATTCTGCGGGCGTTCGTCGATCGCTGACGTGAGGGTTCTGCGGGTGCTCGTCGCTGCCTTCCAAAGACACGTGCTAGATCCAACAAAGCTGAATTATTGCGAGAGGCGGTAACCTCAAACAATTAGTGAACAACGCAATGGGTTTGCCCTGCAGTTGTACGCGCAGCAAGTGAAGTTCTCTTTAACAGCGCACAGAGCTTTTGTGCCAACACTGTTCAGGATTTCCATGGCAGAACAATGCGGTGCAAGGATGTAACTAGAAATTTTAAAATAATGCTGTGTAATTATTCATGATAATCGACTGGACTTGCGCCCCACCACGTTCATAAAAATATCACGACACGGACATTACCTAGGACACTCGTGGCCAACGACAGCACATTTCCTTTACCGAGCGAGCTCAGAAACGTGACGCAGATAGCATCGCTTCACCGCAGAGAGTCAGGTGCGTTGTCCACAGCTCAACGTCGACCACCTTATGCATTCTTGTGCCATGCAAACGAACAAAAAATGCGTCTGTCACGCTGAAGTGCACGAGGCGCATTGAAAAGACACATTGCTCCGAAGATAGACCAGCCGTCGAGCTGTTTGACTTGCAGATCGCCTTGAAATACGGTCCACTCTTTCGGGCCCAGGCCAGTCCCGCTGGCGATGATGGATGGCTTCAGGACAGATCAGGACCGGGCCGACGGCAGAGCCGGCGCTCGGGGCCGGCCACGGCGCGTGGTGGCGTGAAGCACGAGTCCGCGGGACCGTCGGACCAGGGACCGCTACCAGTGCGGGGCATAGTAACCAGAATGCCATAAGCCTTGACTTTTAACAAGACATGTTTTAGGAAGTCCTGACAAGAACCACAGGCAAGCGCACCACGCGGACCACCACGCTGGCCGTCCCACGCGGTGACTGTACACCAGCCATTGGTGATCTAGACAAGTGCCTGCTATTGAGGGCCTGACGCCCAGATAATCTGTGGTGGGGCGGCTGGCGGCTTGGACCGTCATGACGGGCAGCGGCCAGGTCGGGTTTGCAGTAGGTGCCCGTGCCAGGTCCGCGGTGTTCTGGGACCGGCAAGGCCGCGGCCGGGCACACACAGTCACCGGCTGATGCAGCGGGTGCCCGTGCCAGGTCCGCGGTGTTCTGGGACCGGCAAGGCCGCGGCCGGGCACACACAGTCACCGGCTGATGCAGCGGGTGCTCGTGCCAGGTCTGTGGTGTTCTGGGACCGGCAAGGCCGCGGCCGGGCACACACAGACACCGGCTGATGCAGGGGCGCCCGTGCCAGGTCTGCGGTGTTCTGGGACCGGCAAGGCCGCGGCCGGGCGCACACAGACACCGGCTGATGCAGGGGCGCCCGTGCCAGGTCTGCGGTGTTCTGGGACCGGCAAGGCCGCGGCCGGGCACACACAGACACCGGCTGATGCAGGGGCGCCCGTGCCAGGTCTGTGGTGTTCTGGGACCGGCAAGGCCGCGGCCGGGCGCACACAGACACCGGCTGATGACAGCAGGGCCGGCCGATTCCCGGAATGTCCGCCCCACTAATACAAGGAAAACATGACGGTGGAAAAGAGTGGCGGCGCTGGGCACGCCTCAGAACCAGTTTGACATGACGGTGACGTCAGAGGTGGGACCGGCGGCCGGCGGCTTCAGGGGCAGGGACAGGGCGCTGCGCAGATGGCCGTACAGTGCTGGCGACGAACCGACAACATGATGGGGACCTGTGGAGGGTGTGACCACCGCGATCGGTGGCGTGCGGGCGCCAGCAACAACTAACGCTTTGGAAGATCGAACTCTGCATTGCGCGGCGACGCCTGTAAGCCGAATAGCGCCGAGCACTGTTTTAGCGCCGTCTGTTTAGGCATTCCGCTGACCAATGGTACAGCGCAAATTCCGAATTCCATGTGGTCGGCAAAGTCAGGCGACAGTTCACTTCGAACGCTTGACTTGAAACACCGTCTGTTAAGCTACTCCACTGTTGAAATTTGGAGTTTCATGTGGGCGGCAGAGTTATCACGCATTCTTCTAAGTCAGGCGGCAGCTAGAATTTCCGGTAACGCCGATATCACAGACCCTTGTCTTCGGGATTTTCCTAGTCAATTCATGACTGTGCATTTACCTCCTGCGAAGGAAATGACCAGTTCAGCACCGGGGGGAAGGTCTGTTTAGATACATTGAAACCATCACTTCCACGACATTACTGGCTGATAGCTTAAGGACGCCGTGCGTTTCGGGTTCATTCGTCCCACACAACGCCAAAAGCCTAATGCTAATCAGTATCGTACTAATTGTGGAGGACTGCATCCACTTCGTGCTCCCCTACGCCCCCCCCCCCCCTTCCCTTCCCCCCCCCCGCTCAGTCTAAGTCACGTCGCCCAGAGCGCCTTCTCCGTGGCCATCTGCGGTCGCTGGTATCACAATGTGGATCATGTAAACGGTTAGATCATTTAACACGTTCTTTCCTGCCTTGGGAGGAGGATTTTTCAAGCATAATATTCGCCCGGCTCATGCATACTTGCAGAGAATTTAACAGGGTTGGGGAGAGTGGCAGACGGGTAATTTTGAAAGATAAGTTGTTAGGGCTGAGAGTAGAAAAATGGTTAAATCTATACGCAACATGGCACAAAAACATGTTTCTTTCCGAACTTGACCACCTTTCTCCTCAAGGTGTGGAACTCACCCAAACTAGAAAGAAAGGCATTCTCCTGAGAGTTGCCACTATTTTCTGAGAAAATTTAATCAACGTGCTTAAATTGAAGCTATACTGCGACTGCATTGATACATGGACGAAAACGTGACACGAACCGATGGAGGAAGGATTGTATTATGGAACAGTGAACAGCACTACACCTATCCCGTTGCAGGAAACTAAACAGATATTGTATTTATGTGACCACTGCCATAAAAGCATTTCAATTCTTTTCAGTAAGTCTGTTGCAAAGTTATGGACAATATTCGCTCAACTATGACAGTGAAAACTGTTGTTTTCATAGCACGACACGTGCTGTGCAGAGCCTGACGGACGGACTACATGTCTGGTTCCAAGTGGGGACAGATAATTATTATGATGATCGTGATTTTGCGCCTCACGATCTTCTAGGGTCGTTTAGAGACGGAGATGGAGGCAAAGACAGCCCAAAAAATCAGAACACGGCTCGACACATGTTCCTGCTGAATGCATAGTGCTCCGTGATTGCTCATCACCAGGCGGGGGATGGCGATACACATACGGAAACACCTCCTTCGGCATGGGTCAGTGACAAGGAGGTCACCAGAACAGTACGCGCCGACACTTCTCGGCTCGAGACTCACCTCGGAGGCGCGCGTCACCTTCTTAAACCAGTCATCCTGCTCGAACTTGGCCTTCTGGTCCGAAACCACGCGTGGCACTTTGAACGTGAACTTCTGCTTGGGCTGCTCGTAGATACCGGCGGACTCGTAAGGCAGCATCGCCGACAGTGACGCCATGACACCACGCCGCGTCAGCACTGACTGGCCAGCCGAGCGCGCCGCGCGGCCGCGCCTCTGACGTCACTCGCCCCGCCCCCGGCCCCGCCCATTGGCTCAGTGATGGCCAATCAGCGCACGAAATACGTCGAGACGGCTGCGTAGGTGGCAGCACGGGGTGCGTGGTGACGCCCTGAGTCAGTAGGCGCGTCAGAGATGTTCGCGGAAGGCCGGAGCTGGAATGTCCGCTCGGTGGGGGAGGTTCCGGCGCGTTCCGGAAGTGGTGCGCCCTCCGCCGGGGTCGAGAGATGCCTGGCTCTGTCGAGTGTAGAGTTACGCGACTGGCAAGGGCGCCTCCTCAACGTACGTCTTGAGGCATTCGAAACGCATTTGTGTCGAAGGCCATGTACCATAATACCATGGAAGCGTTGCCGGAATAGCAGTCGGGTCTTTTCCTGATTATGTGAAATTGTCGCCAAAATTTCTGGTAATGAGATGCTTGGGCGACACCTGCAACTTACCTACCTAATCTTACATCGCCTCGGTCCAACCATGTCAGCAATTATAGCAATTAAGGAGACCTTGGGTACGGGAATGAAAGTTATCAGCAGTTTCCAACAGCATATTAAATTTTCTTTATTTAATGCAAACAAGTTGCACCTTAAGCTCCAGGTGTTTCGACTGCATCAACTGAGGTGGGTAACAAATACACGTGCCTTTCGGTATTGAGAGTTTCACATCTTATAAGAAACAAGTCGAGCCCGGTACGGGTCGTCGAGACACTTCGGTCTACCCGTGCGAGTCTCGCACTACTCTTAGCGTGATACAAGGCACCGGATGTTAGAAGGTGGGAGCTTAAATGCGCGACAGCGTTGGCTTTTATTTATTGGGAGAGCCTGCAGAGATTCGTAGCTTTTTCAACTTTGCATGCAGCTCATTTTGTTCCTAATACTTTTTCGCTGAAAGGTAGTGTTCCACATTTGTATGGAGTTGTGCACTGAAATTACCATCTTGAACATGACTCGGCGCAGTTCACCGCCCTCCCTTCTTATGACCTAAAACCCTGGTCTCTGAACCACACGCCCACAAAGGTGTGCAGACTATTTCTTGCAGACTATTTCAAGGTCACCCACCCCAATAACGTCATTTAATCCTGTCATTCTATTGGCCATGCAGCGTTCAATGCCAACAAAAATGTTGTCGTCGAGTCGTTCATATCTGACGTTCGTGAGCACGATTTCCAAATATAGCAGCAGTCAGTTGACTCCCAACCACTGCTGTGCAATCGCTACATTATTCTAACACGATTGGTTATTGGTTGTATTAGTGCCCTTTCCACCAGAAAGGATCCTTTCAGGGCAAGCTGATGAGGGAGATGGACGACGGTGGAACATGATTACATGCGCCTGAGGCGCCCACCGCCGGGCTTTGGCCCGCGCAGGAACCCCCCTGCGGGAAGAATTACGCTTTGTGCTACATAATGCAAGAACAGTAATTCTTTCCGGCTATTACGGAAATTATATTTGTAGTCGAATAACTCAGAATAGTGCTATACCGAGCATATGAATATAAGTAAACACCTTCAACTTACGCATAAACTTGCAACAGCGCCACGAGAAAATACCAAAACACGAGTACCAGCACTATTTGGTGCAGCACACATCCGGCACCACTGCGGGCCACTTCTCAGGAGAACGAAGAACTTCAAGCGAAAATTGTCTCATAAACGTTCCATGACACAGTCAAATCATGACGCATTGAGGAGCAGATTTGCTAAATAGTTCAATGGTGTGGCCTGCAGTAGCCTTTTGCACATAGAAGTATACCAATATTTAAAAGTGAGCTTATTTCATAATACCTAATGCTTGCTTTAATGTCTTCAAATGTGGGCCATTTCCTTAAAGAAGCTGCTGTATCTGCTTTCCCAGCTGAAACCTACGGAGCTGCCAATACGCCACGCAGACGTCTGACAAAGAAATCCCATCTCTGTACCTAAAATGTCGGAATGCCGAAACATTCAGGTCAGGCTGGCAACATTCCGATCTTTGCTGACCATGATCATCGGCTCTACATCTGTAGTACATGAGTGCTCCAGCCGTGCGCCCCCTCAGTAAAAGGTGGTGTAAATTTCAACAAAACTATTGCTTTAGCTAATTTTATGAAAACTTAAACCTAAAAACACATGTTCTTAAATCAAAGAAACTTTCAGTGAGATTTAAGAGAAGAAGGCTGTTATGTTTAGGAACCAACGAAGAAAGTTTGTTTCAAGAAGATGCGTAACATGAACCCCGATTAGACATTAACCGTTGTTGAAGTTCTTGGCTGAGATTGGATCCCCGCTGCTCTGGTGGGTGGCCCTTCGGCCGGGGCCGTCACACGTGTGTCGGGGAATGAGTGCCGTTTATTCACTAACAGTGAGAGCGGAGCGGTCTTCGAGCGGTAGCCGCAATACGTACTGCAACTGAGGACTTGAACACTTTTCCAAACGTTGGAAGATCATAGTGAAAAATAGGCACTCCTCACCATGGTCTTTCAGTTTTCTGAGAACCGAGAAAACTACGCGTGGCAAAGCTGCCGGAATGAATGGCCATCCTTTCAATGGGTGAGTGTTGAAATCCTTCGAATTCCAAGGTAATGATGTCTGCAATATGCAATGACATATTTATTATTAATGCAAGGGTCAGTGATGTCTGCAATATGCAATGATCAAAATTGATAATGCAAGGTATAACGACGGGTCTATCGCAAGCATCATTTTCTTCACCGCCCGCTCATGAAGGGATCTCCACTGAAATAAACTTCAAAATGGAAATGATCCTTAGATAAACTAAATTTCACCTCCCCAGTACGTTTAAACTCTATGTAGCTTATTCCCATAATCTTAACAGAAGTACTTATATATAGTACTATAACAATACTTAATACTTATAATACTTACCAATAACTTTAAAAAAACAGAAGAGCAGAAATCAGCGAGCATAATCAAAACCGACGATGCCCCTCGCACTAGCTGTTCAGTTCAGCGGCGTGGTGGCGGGCTTTCCCAGCTTCTTGACGCCTGTCTATGTAATGCTGCTCGTGACCACGCTCGAACAATCCCTCCAGTCGTTGGTGACAACTTAGCGCCCGCCCCCCCCCCATCCGCTCAACCGCCCGGTGAACACTGCGAGATAATCGCCGCTAATGGAGGGCACTTGAGCGCCGGCTCACTCGGCCCGACCGTGCCCATCGGGAGCGCACAGCACGGCAGTCACAGAGCGCTGTGGGAAGTTCGCGCTGTGTGCGAAGGCGTCTCTGCTGTCAGCCGGCGCCCCTGCGAGTCCGAAGGGGGTTTTGGGTGTTAGTGAGGCAGCTGGGGCGAAGGGCTGGGAAGGGTGCCGACGGGATCTCGAGGTAAGATTCGGAAGCGGTGAGCCTACGCAGCGCAGCGACAGCAAACGGAGACTGGGCGGTCACGTGATGGCTGGGTGCAGATCCTCATGCCGAATGAAATCGTATGGCGGAATTCATGTATCTCGAAAAGGTTCCATGAGTTGGGTGCTAAAACTGCTCAAAACGATGACAATACTTCTCTATCCTATAAAACTCGATTTAGTTTTTTGCACATGTCGGATAGGGATGTCAAGAAATTTCCCAAATTGTGCGAACTTGAGACGGGAAAACAAAGAACTTTTTAGGCTTATCCTTCTCGTGCATAATCATGGATATAGTTTTGAACGTTCATGAAAAGTGGGAGGGCAACGAACATCTCAGCCACTGGCTGCCACGGGTAGGGATGCGGAAGCCGGAGGTGGGAGGCAGCGCTTACTTGCAAACGTCGGTAAAATCTAAAATTTCCCCCCTCGCCACGTACGCACGCATTGAGAGCGTTTAAGTGCTCCTCCCTATGGCAACCAGTGACGGCGGATATGATTTCCGGAAAGGGGAGAAGAAACTTTTCGAGGGGCTCTTAAACGTTGTGGGCCCACACTCTGACGGCGGTGAGCCCGGTCACCAGCAAAATTTATAGCGTGCGAGGCAGATGACAAAACGTAACATTTGAGGGGATATGTTTGTGTTTACGTACGCACAGCCAGTCTTGACAAAGGGGTCAGGGCTGCTCCGGGGCTGATGAGCGGCTACCCATCCACCAGTCCCCCCCCCCCTCCACACACACACCTAGAAACAAACAGAAGCTGCTCACTGAATTTGGTTTGTCTTATTTTGAGGGACCATTTTCTTTGCTTCCTGCTATGATATCTGAAACAAAGAAGCTAGAATTCCCGGAAGATGCCATTTAAGTCTATGAGATGAGCAAAGCAGATATCAAATAACTGCAGCCAATAAGCCGCCGGCGACTTCCATTTCCCATTTTTAATTGAACCATTTGCTAAATCGACTCCAGGCGGGGGCGTCGTCGGAGTTTTTCAGTGGTGCTGTTAGCACGCGTCCGGGTGGCCGGTTTGATACCCTTCGCTCGGGTGGGAGTTAATTTGACCCCCCTGAGATCTCAGGAGCTAAGAGAGCTAGACACATCAAATTCACAGGGCGTGTTGGGCTGTACGTGAACTCACTTAGGTCCGAGTTTCAGGTTACCAGGTCATGACCTTCGGATCAAATAAGGTTAAACAAGGTCATATTCCAGGTTGCTCCCAAAGGGCCCCTTGTACCTAGATAACTGTTCTCAGCAAAAGGCCGCATGCTCATTTAAGTTCAGTGACCTTCTTGACCTTTTAAGGTCATGGTTGACCAAAATTATGCAAGACTGCTTTGAGTTTGTATTTGAATAGGCGGCAGAAGATTTACGCTATGCCAGGTATTGATGGATGATGTGATGTCAACAAATATGTTGACCTGAGTCAATTTTAGGTCAGTGACCTTATTCTGATCTTTAAAGCGTTCATGGAAGGTGATTAGTCAATGCGATTCCTATTTATCAACAAATTTGAAATTAAGCACCAGAAACTACCTCACTACAGCAAGCCCTGACCTAGCGTAATAAACCAGGTGGTTTTTGACCTTGGCCTCCCTCATACCTAACCTAGGTGAGTCA